CAACACAATTGGTGACTTGGGTTCCTCAGGGGGGATTGGGCATAGTGGGATGAGTAGAGACTTGCATGGAGCAAGGTTTGCCACTCCGAACATGAGCGCGGGCAACTGCCCGTGCTCGAACCTTACATCGATCTGCCATAGCGACTTCCCTCCCTTTCCCATCGTAGACGAGGACGGCCCTTACTGCGACGAGGATGTAAGGAAGACGCTATTGCAGACAAACCGGGTTCACCTGTTTAACCCGTTGAAGGCATGCCACGTTGGGGGATCGGGGTTCATTTTAATAGATCGGTTTGATTCCCCGCCGCTGATTTTGCCATATACTGATCTGACTGTGCTCCCCTGGTCTGTGGCGCATGCCACACGGAAACCTCAGTTTAACTGTCGGTGGTGCCAGCTCGTAAACTCGTGTTCCTGGCAGAGGTTGGTGCTGGGGTACGAGGGGTCCGTCCGGTTCCCGGATCTCTCCCGTAACGTGGGGGCTCTTCCAACGAACTTCCGAACCTGGGTACCTCCACTCCCGCCCCTGTCAGATGACGAGGGATCGAGCCGATCAAGACGGGCTCCGCGGACCTGACTCGGATGCTTAGGATGTCCCTTGCCTTCTTGGGCCCCACAAAAAGGGCGGCATGAACCTACTAATGAAAAAAGTGGTAGATCAATTGTCTTTGTTTTTAGTCTTCGCGGTCATATCTTGTGCTAAAAAAACTTGTGTCGATATCCTTAAGTTGATGGGTGGAATTTTGTCGATGCCCCACCCTTCCGCCCCTGTCTAAATTTTGGAATTTTGCAGTTACTCCAGTCGGCCAGAGTTTCCGAAACGACCCTCGGGAATGAGGCGAGAACCCCAGTTTCGCCCTGGCGGTTCAACCCCCACCCAAAATCCTCGGCCACGCCCCAGTTACTCTGATCGGTGTCCCCACGGGTACGGGACACTGCTCGGGGCTTGAGGTTGCATACCACAAGGCTCCATGCTGCTTCAGACGATAGACTTTGGGCCTCACTCCACTACTCAACATTCTACATGCATTTGGGTGCCCTTTTGGACTAGGTGCATTTGGAGGAGGCCCATTGTGTAGAGTGGAGTGAGGCCCATTGTCATTTCCAGTTCCAGCATTATCTGCACTAGCCTCGGATAGGCCATTGCTCTGGAGAGTTGTCTTCCTGGTCTCCTTTTTTATGCCTTCAAAAGATTACCTTGGCTTTTTCTACCTAAACCCTAAACCCTTAAGGTTGGTTCGCTTTTGGGACTCTGGTTCCACTAGACTTGTATCTGTGACACTGATTGTGGTTCTGACCCCTACTTGCTCCTCTTAGCTACAGGGCTGTCAGAATAACTTGATTGCTAGAGCAGTATAGGGCTTCTATATTTTAACCCCTTTTTTGTATACCTGCTAGAACCCTAATCCTACTCCCTTCTCTGGCTTCCTCTTCCCTCCATCCTTCTCTCCCTCCTCCTGTTCCTCCTCCCCCCCCTCCACTTCCTCATGGTTATCTGCCTCCCTGTCCCGTTGATCCTATTCCTGGTCCTCTTGCTGTGGTTCCCGCTCCTCTCCTTACCTCCTCCTCCCGATCCCGCTCACAACCCAGAAGAAGTCCCGAGTTATCGGTTAGCCATGTACTTGTATTCGATCATGTGATGAACCCCGTTGCCTCCCCCAGCCACGTTGCCAAACCCTCCCTACTTCATGACAAGGCCCAGGCTAATGACCCCTTAGTCGCCCCGCAGACACAACTAGACCAAACTATGCTCTGTACGTTAGATGTGTCTGAAGCCTTAGAAGACTTGGAGAGTGAGTGGTCAAACAAGGACCCTCGCGAGTCTTGGGTGGCGCTGAGGAAAGGTCCTAGAGGGGAACATTTCGTGGTGGAAGTCGATGTAGGAGGCCGCAAATGTGGTGCCTTCATAGACATAGGCTCCACGCGGAATTACATAAGTCTCGACTGTTTGGAAAGGCTGCACCTACAGGACCGGGTACGGCACCTTAGTAGACCAGTAGCATCTACTTTGGCCAACAAGGAGCGCATTATTGTAACAGACTACATCAAGGGCGTAGTCTGTACCTTCTCCTATGGAGGAGGTGAGATTAACCATAAGATCTCGTTCTTGGTTAGCGACGACTTGCCATTCGATATGCTGTTAGGGATGTACCACCTCGAAGTTGCTAAGCCCTAGTTCGACTGGGATAAGAAGGTGCTCAAACACAAGTTGCCCGAAGGCCGAACTGTCAGATTGACCAAGTTCAAGGCTAGTAGTATTATAGATACCTATGGCTGCTTGTGCGCATCCGCATTCTGCAACTATTACAAGCAAAACGAAGAGGAGGGTATGTACCTAGTTTACGTCTCTGAGAAGGGAGAGGCCGTTAAAACACCCCCAGAGATAGAACGCGTCGTTCATAAGTTCCCTGATCTGTTCGAGGAGCCCACAGGAGTTGTTGAAAGGGAAGTTGTCCACGCTATAGAAATCATTCCAGGGAGTAAGACCCCAAAGGGAAGGATCTATAGGATGGCCCCCGCCGAGTTAGATGAACTTCGGCGACAACTTAAGGAGCTGACAGAGAAGGGTTGGATTCGGCCTAGTACTTCCCCCTACGGATCACTCGTTCTATTCGTACCGAAGAAGGGGGGTTCTTTGAGGATGTGCACTATAGAGGCCTCAATGCCATCACAGTGAAGAACGCAGAGCCTCTACCACGCATAGACGACCTATTGGATAGGGTGCAGGGATGCAAGTATTATACAAAGATAGACTTGAAATCCGGATATCATCAGATCACGATAAGACCTGAGGACCAACACAAGACAGCTTTTCAGACCAGATACGGTCTATATGAGTTTGTAGTGATGCCCTTTGGTCTTTGCAATGTGCTGGGTACATTCCAGCACGCTATGAATCGGATCTTCCATGACCATTTAGATAAGTTTGTCGTGGTCTACCTAGACGACATTCTGATCTTTAGTAAGTCTGTCGAGGAGCATGCACAGCATGTTGAGAC